AAGTGTATTAAATACAGTCAAAGACACAGACAAAAGCACAGCAGTGCAGCAAACAGTGACGGGTACTAACATAACGACACCCGCTTTGCATACAGTAGGGGACACATTAGTATACCCCCAAGGCTTTTACGGCGACATTTTTGTATTGATCGATGCAAGTAATTGCGAAGACCTAAAAGAAAGTAGAATCAACAATGGTCTCCCATTGTTTGACCAACTGAAAGGCTATAGATTAAAGGATATGGACCTTATAACCAAGATAGGCCGTACACTATATAAAGTCACTTTTAAAAACCTGTACTCCGCAAACAATGTCTTGCTGAATGAGAAACTGAGTCAGAAAGGACTGAGAGCATTCATTCCAAGAACGGCAATTGAAACCCAAGGAGTTATAAGGGGTATACCCACAAACTACAGTGTTGAAGAAATTAAAGCAAATGCAAGCTCGGAAATTCCCATTAGTTCAGTCATGCGTTTCTCCAGAAGGGAAAAAGAATCTAACAATTTAACTCCTACTACTACCATTAAGATAGGTTTTCAAGGCAAAGAAATTCCAAAGTTTATAATTTTTGAGCACACTAAGCTGAAAGTGGATTTCTATATTCCGCCGCTAAGACAGTGTCTTAACTGTGGCCGTCTAGGACACACACAATTCTCCTGTAAAAGCAGGAAACGATGCATCAAATGCGGGAATAATGACTGTGATAGCACTCAGTGCCAACAGAAATGCGTTCTGTGCCATAGCACTGATCACATTTCCTCGGATAAATCCAAGTGCAAAGTTTGGGAAAGGGAACAGGAAGTAAATCACATTAGGGTAGTCAAAAAATTATCGCGACGCGAAACTTTAAAAGCATACTTTCCTGAAAGTAGCAACAGGTTTGATCTATTAGCTGTGGAAGACGTAGAGTTTCCACCTTTAAACTCTGTTGAGGAACCGATCAGGGACAGGAACCAGGAAGTAAACAGAAGATTAACCAGAACTAGGTATAGTACAATGGCTAGAAAAGTGCCCGCAGAGACAAATCAAGCGCGAACTACCCGCAGCCCGCATTTCAGCAGAAAAGCAAATAGGGAATCACAGTCAGTGTTAGACAAACCGGAGTACCTAAAGGGGAAGGTAACTGAGCTGGAGAGGATGATAACTGAACTCTTCAAGGTAGTACAGGAGAAATGTATCAGTGCGCAAATGGGGGAGACCCTGGAAAAAATCCTACTTATTAAAAAAAAATTTGATCAAAGTGCCATTTCTGAAGATACGGTCCTGATAAATCAGGCAATAAATGACACCACCTTAACCACACTATGAAGATTTTGCAATACAATTGCCAATCGCTAAAATCAAACATTAACTCAATCGAATACTATCTGAACCACAACCTTTTTGACATTGCTTGCTTTAGTGAAATATTCACTTCTAATGAACCGAAACATAGAAACCTTATTAACTTTAACATTCTTGAAAAAAACAGGGAAGATGGCTACGGAGGGGTTGCTATTGCACTCGCCAAAGCCATCAAATTCCAAAAAATTTCCTTTTTGACTGATTATGACGTACTTATTGTTCGAACATGCAACCTTAAACCTAACTTGATTATTTGTGCTACATATTTCCCACCCAACATCCCAACTAACCCATTCAATGCGGAGATTGAGAGAGTCTTGTCCTTTCTGGAGGGTTTTGAAAATGTCCTTCTTCTTGGAGATTTCAACGCCAGAGCCAGGGTATGGGGCGATGACTTCCAGTCATGCAGGGGCACCAACCTGAATAATATCATTCTTCAGCATAACTTCTGGCATCTCAATGATGGTTCAATAACTTTTAAAAGAGACGCTATGTCGTCAAATGGTTCGGTGTTGGATTTATCCTTCACCAATTCAAACTCTACCTTCAAGTGGAGGACTGATCCAATCAGGATCGGAGGAAGCCATCATTTTCCTATTATAATAGAAAATGGTGCAATATCCCTTGTTCACAACAAATTTCTTTCTCAAAAAAAACTCCTTTCAAATCTGCAAAATATTGAAATAGAACCGGATCTGGAAGATATTCAACACAAATTCAAAAATGAACTTAGTACAGCAACATATGTAACGAGCAATAAAAGACAACCTAAGAGTTGGTGGAATGAGAACTTGAGCAAAACATATAGGTTTTTTAGAATAGCACAGCAAAAATGCAATAAGCACCCCTCCCCTGAAAACTTCCAAAATCTTCTTGACATTAAAAAAGAATGGAAAGCCAAAATAAAAGATGCCAAAAAAATAAATTTCAACAACAAAATAGAAAGCCTTAATGAAAACCCGTCAAGCAAAGAGGCATGGAGATTTGTCAAAGCCCTTAGAGGCGACTTTAAACAAGCAAATCATACTTCCTGGGCAAGCGAAAATGATAAGGATTTCCTTCAATTTGTTGCAAACCAAGTCCCTCACTCAGGTGAAGCAATTCTTGTAAATACGCGGCTTGAACCAGACAATGAATTACTGATTACTTTTGAAGAATTATACAAGACAATCCACAGCAAAAGCAGCAACTCTGCAGGTGGAGCAGACAAAATTACGTACAAAATGTTAAAGGTTCTACCTGACATGGCACTCAATAATATACGTACAGTGCTTAATAACCTCTTCTTAACCAATAAAATACCTGAGGAGTGGCGTACAATTAAAATTGTACCCATCCCCAAGAAAGACTGTGATATTAACTTGGTAACTAGCTTTAGGCCTATAGCATTAATCTCTGTTTTTCTTAAATGTATTAACTTATGTATCAAAAATCGTATATCTGATTTCCTTGAAATTAATAAGACATTCCCTGACCACTCTTTTGCATATAGAAAAGGTAGATCAGCCACAATTTGCATCAATTATTTTTTACATAGGGCAGCTCTCCTAAAAAGCCAGGGCTTTAAGGTAATTTTATGCTCGACAGATGTTAGTAACGCCTATAACTGCGTGGAGCTCTCCAAACTACAACGAATCATGGAAGACGTGGGACTGAATGAAACTTACAGGGAGTGGATCATAAACTTTTTGGCATTAAGGAAGCTTCAACTAGGTAAAGAAACTGTTGACGTGAGGAATGGGCTTCCTCAGGGCAGCTGCCTTTCACCCTGCCTTTTCAACTTGATTACGAGGAACCTACATAGCATAGAAGACGGAAGCACTGAACTTTATCAGTTTGCTGACGACTTTCTCATTTTGTCTTNCTCTCCAAACTACAACGAATCATGGAAGACGTGGGACTGAATGAAACATACAGGGAGTGGATCATAAACTTTTTGGCATTAAGGAAGCTTCAACTAGGTAAAGAAACTGTTGACGTGAGGAATGGGCTTCCTCAGGGCAGCTGCCTTTCACCCTGCCTTTTCAACTTGTATACGAGGAACCTACATAGCATAGAAGACGGAAGCACTGAACTTTATCAGTTTGCTGACGACTTTCTCATTTTGTCTTTCAAACCCAAACTTGCGGATGCAATTATAAACCTGCAACAAAAAATACTCACCTTTGTAGATCTTTGTAAAGACATCAACCTTTCCTGCAACCCAGCTAAAACCAGAATTATGTACCTATGTCAGGGCAGCAGAAATAAAATTGACATCTTTCTCCACAGCAGAAGAATTGAGCAAGTGACATCTTTTAAATTTTTGGGGAGACATATAAGCGCATCTCTGGCGGTCAGCGAACATTACAACGAGGTGATCAAAAGGTCACACAGAAATTCCAATCTTTTCAAGTGTCTGACCTCCATTAAGGCAGGTCTGCATCCCCAAGTAAGTCTAAACTACTACAAATCCCTGGTTAGAAGCAAAATTGAGTATTGCCGGTCCTCTACGGCACACTGCTCAGCCACAGTCAACAACAAAATACGTACTTTCCAAAACAGTTTCCTTAGGAGGTGCTTAGGGGCAACTCCTGCCACACCGATTCCACTTTTGTATGCCATTGCAAATGAGCTTCCACCGGCTGATAGAGCAAAATGGCTCACTGCAAAAGAACTGATCAACACCTTCAAGATTGATGAAGACTTTAGGATTTCTCTAGACAGATACCCTAATGTCAAATCCAGTTATGGCTATATTTTTAGGGAGTTCAAACATATTTTTGACAGACTTGAGGTGATTGATGCCCCTATTTTTTCTCCCAACCTCACAATAGTGACCAAATCCTTTAATGAAAAAAAACAGAATATTGCACCTGAGCAGGCGCAAGCGATATATTCTCAACTTCTTCAAGAGTATGAACAAAGCAACTTTAAAATATTTTATACGGATGCCTCCGTGGGTGCAAACTCAACTGGGTGCGGTATATATAATCACACGACAAAGAGTGAGCATGGATTTAGGCTCCCTTTTAAATCATCCTCGAGTTTTGGTGAGTTAAATGCAATTAAAAAAGCCTTAGAACTAGCTGCCCAAGGGCAGTACAGCAAAATAGCTATTTTCACGGACAGTTTAACGGCGTGCCAACTGCTTCTGAAGGTCAGAACTGATAATTACTGTGTTTTAGAAATCCACAAACTCATACAACAAGGGGACTTTAATAGAGTGACAATTATTTGGACACCCAGCCATAAAGGGATTTTAGGCAATGAAAAGGCGGACCGTATTGCAAAAGACGCTATAATCAGCGAACATACCCTAGATGTTAAACTGTCGGTGGCTGAAGCCCTAAATACTATCAAAAACCAAATTAGAGAAGGTTGGCTTGAGGGCTTTAAAGCCTTTTCGATGGAAAAACCTAATCTTTTTTCCAAAGTGTTTACATGTAGGAAAAGGAGAACCTGGTTTTATAAGTGCCCACTTGCGCCTAAAACAATAAAAACCCTTAACAGAATTCTCTCAGGTTTCACTTATGATACTGCTTACCTATATAAAATTAAAGCCATCGCTTACAACACATGCAGATGTGGTGAAATCGACAGCTACATTCATCAGACTTTTCACTGTCGGCTGTTAAATGATACCAGAGTAAATTTCGAAATTTTTCAAAACAACACAGATTTTCACGATTTGTTCCGAGACATGAATTTTTGCAAAATTACTCAACTAGCAGATTTTCTACAAAAAGTCGAAGCAAAATTTTAAAATCATATTATCTCTTATACGGTTTATGTGTGGCAACTAT